ATTTTAACCTTAATAAAATGAATTATTTGAGAGTAGTATTTCTATTTAAAGGGGCCATATGATAATTTTTCAAGGAGCCATGGAATGAATTCATTAAGGAAGCTTATTGCCTGATGAATTCACCGCCCCCAGAAGTTTTAGAATCCTTCCAGTACGCGCGGAGCTGCAAAGATTTGTCGCACGCTGCAAGTGAATTCTCTCTTTTCGTCCCGACAGAAGTGCTGGAAGCTAAGCCGGGAGGGGTCACACGAGGAAAGAAAATACGTCACGCGGCTTTCTGAGCTTGTCGAGCCATTTGCCGAGTGAAGAGAGCAATTTTCCGCAGACTTTGAGAATTCGTTGTAAATTGCACGCTGCATGCTGCACTATAATGTTTAGCTTGCATGTCCTTGGTAGCCTCTACTGCCGGTCGGCAGCGTTTTCTTACAATGTTCAAAGTCTTGCAGGGCCCCTTTAAACTTGAAGGAGTACTTCGCAGCAAAGCGGATTTCTCCTAGATAAGTTCTTTCACAGTTCAGCACCCCTACATCGCAGTGAAACCACCGCAGTCAAACCATATTTACATTATTATGCATTTATTTGTTCGTTGCGAATACTTCAAAATTTTGAATAATTTAAATTCAAATCAAAGCAAATTCGCACACCCTACTATTCATTTGAATATTCACACAAGCCTAGTCAATAGCTCTTTTTTTTCTCCCGCAGTTTGCAGTCGGGGGTGCCGGTTATACAGAAAAAAAAAATACTATGTAGTCGACTTTCATTAATTTAAACTCGAAGGAACCTCTGAATTTTTTTGAATGATCAAGAAGTTTGAATTATTAAAAGTTTTCAGATAAACGACTCTGGGTGAGGTGATGCGACACATAATGATTAGGCATTGATTTTATCACTTTTAAAAATATTTTGGGTGTTTTTAATACCACACTCCACGCAATGAACAAAAAGCAAGTCCACAAGTTTATTGGCCACTTACTGCTGATCATACCTTTTGAAGAAATAGTGAATTGCCAACTGCTTCTTTGCTATAGGTATGTGCCTTCAGCACAAAGCTTTCTACACCAGTTAAGAAGCATCACGGTTTACTATGCGTGTGTTTTGTTTAAAACATTTGTTTACTAGCAATGCCTTTTTCTTAAAGGCCTGAGGCGCTTATTTTAAATTTTTAGACTGTTAGAATTATATAAACTCGCACATTTTAAACAGTAGTGAGAAAGCAGGAGATATCTTTTGGTATGAAACTGCAAAAAGTATGAATTAACCAAATGATGGAGTTTGAATTAAGAGGCTTTTAAATACATTGAAAAAATAGAGGGCCAACCAAGAAATTGAATTTTGTTTGAAATAACTGAAAGTTCGAATTATCAGTTTAGATTATCGATTTAGCCGTGCGCTCTGTATTCAGACGACCCTTGGAGGGTGCCAGAGCTTCGCTAGAGACCAACTAAAAAGTGCAACTGAAAGTGCCAAAGCTGCGCAATACCATGGCCATGAGTGAACGACAGGATAGCCAGAACAGTTTGTGTTATTTTACGGCTTTATTGCCTTTGATCTACAGTTGTGTTAGCTGAACACCTTCGAATCTTATTCCCTATGGATGAACATGATGATAGTGACCGCGATTTCCTGCACAGTGGTTGCGGCAAACAGTAGTTCCATTTTCAATCTCTGTGCACTGCACTGGCCGTGCGCGTCACTTGAGATTTGTTCGCAACACTAGGGTAAGAACTATTGGGTTGAGTGAGTGCACGTTGACTGCGTGCGTACTATTCTGGTAACCCATGATCGCATTCGACATGACCACATTTGTGTTCGCAGCGGTTGTGGCAGGATGCAGGATGCAAGCGCTGCTCGCGCGTGCGCCTTCATGATGTCGTGGTGTCATTCATGATCGCAGAGGTAGTGACGACGAGCGGTTGTTCTGCCGCAGTCCGCACATGCATCGAACCCACTAGAAGCATCATGGTGGATGGGATGATCTCAATGGTGATAAATTTGGCAGTATGTGTGTGTGGTGACGGAGAGCGTGCTTCCGATGAACACACGATTCTTGCAATGCGGCCGTGCGCTCTGGATTTCCCGAGCCGTCGAGAAATGACTGAGTTGATAGCGGAATTGTGTCACAATCCTAGGCAAGTTTTTTTTCTTCACAGGGTAGTACTCGCGAAAACTTCATTGAAGCTGAAATACCCAGGAAAAACCTTCATTGCGACAAGTCATTTTTCACTTTCTATGGGTGGCTGACAAGGAATCGAAAGTTATTCATTGTGGTGGAATTTTTATTGTAGCGCGTTTCGTTATGGCGGGATTTGACCGTATGTTCTTTTCTTTGTGTGCATTTAGTTCTGTACTGTGCTCTTCTTTGAGCACATGGGAAACATATGGGGGTTGTCTCTTCAAAAATAAAATGTTTAGTTGAGAGTCTGCACTGAGTTTTATTGTTTGTTCTTTGCTGTGCATTGTTGGTCCATCATGTACAGCCATTCGGCCCAAGTTTCAGCCCAAGGAGTTCTGACGACACGCTGCAGGTGTAGGTACGACTACTCACGATCGTTCCCATACTGTAGTTTTTTTTTCCAACTGGGTTAAGGCAGTTTATCGGGAGATTCATAGCTGTAGTTATGTAATCGGGAAGGCCGGTCAGAAATGAACAGTCTCCCAGAAAAATCAGGAGACTTGGCAGGTATTGATGAGCAAGAAATCATGATAGATGCAGAAAATACAACAGTCGGGGTTTGAGCCGAAATTCAACCCATGCCTTTTTCGTGGCTGTCGGATGTCGCACAAGAGGTCTACAACATAGCCAGCGCTCAAAACTCCCACCAAGAAAGCTCTATACAGGTGTCATAGAGAGGGGTGCCTCGTAACAATTGCAATACTGCACAGCAAGTGTAGAATAGTTCCAGATATCAAACCATGTGATTTGTGCAATAAATGGTTAGTTTAAGGCCTTATAAAAATTGCAAAGGGCTCAGCAGTAACCAGTAATTATTATCAGCAAAGTGTTCAGCTACGTGCGTATTGGCTAAAAGACAACCACTGGCTCAATCAAAGCACGACTGAAAGTTGGGCGAGTTGGTTTGCATTGATTGCTTGAAAAGGCATCCAGAGATGGTCACAAAAGCAAGAATGATTAAACACAGCACTATGCTATCACAACTGAAATTTTTATTCAAATTTTTATATACAATGCAATCCCAATACTTTCCCACCATTACAATCGATAACACACAGATACTTAAATTTAGTTGTTAGCAGCTTGTAGTTCTACGTTTTTTGCCTTTATTTTGTCACCGTCCTTCTGTGCATTTTCAAGCTCATTTAAAGGTTGTGGACCCCACCACAGGAAGAGTGCTTTTTGTAGATTTTGTCCCTTTTGAAGAAAAACATCGTAGATAACTTTTTAAAAATTTCTTGATCAATTTTAATAAAACGGTGAGTAAGCATATACGTATTTGAATGCTGATGTCAAATATGCAGTTATTTTTCTTGTATAAAAAGTAGTTCTTGAAATATTAGATATTTCATGTGCATTTTGGGGAACAAGTTTTTTTATGAACTAAGATCATGTTACAATAAAAATGGATGCTCTAACCTATTAGAAAAAAAAGATATGGTATGTTCAACTCACAAATGTTCAACATACCATACCTTTTAGAGCATCCATTTTTATTGGATGCTCTAAAGAACTTGCTCTAACCCATTAGAAAAAAAGTTATAGTATGTTTCACTCACAAATGTCCAACGTACCATAACTTTTAGAGCATCCATTTTTATTGGATGTTTCAAAAATGATGCTCTAACCCATTAGAAAAAAAGTTATGGTATGTTGAACTCACAAATGTTCAACATACTATAACTTTTAAAGCATCCATTTATTTACTGCACTGCAATCAGCTCTGATCACAAATTATTTTTACGTGCTGATTTACTTCGTACCTCTCTTAGTTAGGAAAAAGTCTTGCTCCCCAAAAAGCACATGAAACATTTTGCATTTTAAGAACGACACATTAAGGGGTACAAGGGTGTTAAAATAGCACAAAATTGTAAAAAATGGTCACTTTTAAGAATCGCAATTTAAGATATTTACAGTCGAAAGCATGTTTTGGAAAAATGTTATATTATGATAAAATACCATTTCTTTTTGTTAAAAGCTTAAATATGAAATTAAAAATGTTTTTAAAACTCGACACGTAATTCTCTCGGCATTATTATTTTTGTGAAGTGAATATGCCTTACAGAAGTTATGAGCAAGTTTCTGTGAAAACATATAAACAAACTCGGTACCATTCTTTTCTGCAGCACTTGAACTACAGGCCAAACTTTTCTTTTTCTATCAGCCTTGATAGAATTGTAATTATATGATAAATACCAGCTACATACTGAAAACAAATTTTTACCTTCTAAGATTAAAAATTTTTTCTGATCAAAGAAATAGTCATTTTGACATCTAGTTTGCTTTAGCCTGTGAGATGAACCTTTTAGAAGAAACGTGTAGTTTTGAAAACTACCTTTTTTTATAGCAAGTTACCATAACGACCCATAAAAAATGACCTAATTATAATGTGGAAATTGGTCATAAGTTTTTCAAAATGAGATATTTGAAATTTCTTTGCAAATTCAAAATCTCCATATAATGGCACACATGCATGGTAGTTTTTATGACAGTAGAATTCTAAATAAAAAAGTTTTTTTAAGACCCTCGTTTCTCCTAAAACAAGAAATATTGCATATTCGAAATCAGTACAAAATTGCACATAAACTCATAAAATTTCATCAAAATTGATGAAGGTATAAAAATTTCTTTTTTTAGAGCAGTGTCTCCTTTAACTCATTGCAATTTATGTCATAATTGGTATACTACAATTAAAAAGACTGACAAATGTTGTCCCCTTCTTGATTGAAGTGTTGGTTAGAAAGTAACTCGCAAATGAAACCACCCCTTCCCCTAATCGCCTCACATTCTCTCTTTGTAATTGACCACAAAGGAGGCACAGCACCTTGACTTTGACCATGTCCTCGGGACAGCCCTGCATGGCCGAGGTGAGCCAGCCTTCGAGGCTCTTGGCGAAATTTCGAATGGCCTGCGTCAAGGAGCCTGCATTCAAAGAACACCGACATTACCAACTCTCCTTCCAAATCAAAGTGGTAATGATTCTTGCTTTATTACCATGAAAATGGGTAAATATTTGCGTGATTGAAATATATTTGAACAGATACTACAGTATTAGAATGCCCTCCAACAAAAATTTAGATTTCGTGAAGTAATGAAATACTCAAAATGAACAAATCTGCATCTGTACCAATATTTGCAGGCATACCCTTGCAAAGGCGGTTTCACTGCAGCTTGATGGTGCTAAGACATGAAACCAGCCATCCAAAGGAATTGCGAACTGCCATGAAGCCACCCTTCAAGGATAAATGTACATTTATTTCCGTCACCTCACTTCATTATTTTCCAAGTTTAACAGCGGTAATTTGGGAGAATTCATAATTGCGACAAACAACGGATGGAGCAACTAAGCTGTTCTCACTGAAAGATCACATGTGTGCTTTGTAAAAGCCGATTTGATTCGAAGGCTCAGATTGTGAGCAACCCTCCAGTTGGACTTCCTCATGTGCAGAATCAGCACACAATGTATATTGTGACATGTCCTTGCTGTGAGCTTCTACAGAAATAAAGCAGCTGAGAGTAACACACTTTGCTGCTTTGCAATCAAATGTGTCATAAAAATTTCTACCATCTAACACTCAAGAATTACCTCATACCCAGGCCTCTGTACATCTCAAACCCTGTTGATCATCATAATAATGTAGGAATCGCATCATGTCACACTAGATCTTTCTTCCAGTCGTTTATTCCGCGTACATTTGAAGATTGGAACCATCACTCACTGCAAACTTTTTCATTAAACATTAGCTAACATCGCATAACCAGGAAAATCTGTTACCTGTACTTATTGCTCCTGTTTATTTTATTTTTCTTGAAATAACTACTATTTTTGTATCATTTGGAGAAATGTTGATGTTAACCGAGTCTGTTTTATGTGTATTTTTCATATATTTACCCACTCTTTCCTTCAATGCCTTTTGGCCCTGAGAGTATTATAAATAAATAAATATGTTCAACATCAGGCTACACATTGCACTATTGCTCTTCAGTGACAAACTACAACCTAAACATTCGATTGCAACATGGTAGTCTTTGCTGGCAATTTCCTCTACTTTAACATTCCCATTAAGGGAGCAAGAATTAAGTTTTACAGCACCTATTTTCGATATTGCAACAAAAAGCTTACCAGTCAGAGTGTCTAATCATAGAATGATAACTCAGAAAACGTCGTGAAACATTTGAAACCAGCCCGACTTATTCTGTGTGTGGCGAGTATGAAATGGTATTCACATGTGACAAGACATCATGGAAACAATGAGTGGAATAGCAATCGAGGTTTACTACGCATGTACCACAGCTGGATATGTTTCACTGGCTACCACTAAGGCAGCACCACGTTGCATTGTGCAACTCTTTTACCCCGTAAGCAGCACAAGATGGAGCAAGGATAGTTAATAATGTATATACTCTAATTCTGATGACTGTTTATAGCACACATGATAGAATAAGGCTATGTGACTACCTACAGCAAAGTGATCTGACTCGATATTCCATATTTATGGCTCTTCTACTGGGCTGTGTGACATACCGGTATTGTGTTACTTTTAAAGATGATTTAAAAATATTAATTACACTGTAGTAGTAATTGCATGTCCACATATAGCCACTCAAAATTTCTAAAAATGGTGTGTGTGTGGGGGGGGGGGGGGGGGGGTCCGGGGCCATGCCGGTCGCCGGACTGAATCACACACACATACGTAGGTGGTTTACACACTGACTGAACTCGTGAAGTGCGCCGCAGTTATTTCAGCATCAGCGCCGCATTTATTTCAGCAGCATCGACGCCCCTGGGGGTCGGAACGGTAAACTAATCTTATTACATCCCTCCCCCTTTTATTAATGGATGCAAACAATTGATTAAGGTGAGTAGTGCGATACTGGTCTTCGAATTCTGGTACTTCGATGCAAGACAGGAGTACTGGGTGCTGTGACTGCAAGTTCCGTTTCCCTCGCCACATCTTCGCTGCGATCTTGCCTAGACTCTGTGTCGTGAAGGCTATTTGGAGTTAGCTGCCTCTGACCCATATCCAAGCTTGGAGCAAGACCTGCAGACACGGGGCTGCCTGACTTTTGGTTGTCTGTATTCAGTTCCTTATGGGGCTGGTGGATGTGATCCAGATATCGAGTTAACCGCCGTCCTTCCTCCAGTAGAACATCCATAGACAAAGTGCGTTGTTCGGTCATGACTGCAGGCATCCACGCAGGACCTGGACAGCTGGTCACAAGTGTCCTTGCAAACACTTGGTCATCAAGGTGACCCAATACCCTGGGTCTTCTTCCTTGGTTGCATGATTTTCTGCTTAAGTTGCTTCTGTAGCACCGTAGTCCGGAGGTCTGGGTGTAGCAGGTCCAATGCAGTCCACAGCTTCCGCCCCAACAACAGCTCAGACAGACAGCAACCCGTGATCTCATGAGCCGTAAACCTGTAAGTCAGGAGCATGCGGGCAATTTGAGTGCCAATATCTCCAGGGCCAGCCTTCCGCAACTTGTTTTTGATAGTCTGCACTGCTCGCTCTGCAGCATCATTTGACGCTGGACGATACAGCGGCACCAGCATTCGCCCCACCCCGTTTTTCTTGAGGAATGTGGAGTAGAGCGCACTGGTAAATGCCGGCCCATTATCCGACACAACCACATCTGGAAGGCTTTGGTTTGCGAATATAATTGCAGGAAATAGTTGCCTCAGCCGAGGGCGTGGAGACCGAAAACACTTCAATCCACTTTGAGAACGCATCAACTGCGATAAAAAATAGGTGTTCCCATAAGGACTGGTACGACAACAAAAATAAAAGTTATCACTGCCTTTTTTTGGTTGCTAACAATGCCACACAAACACTGAAAACAATGTAAAGATAAAATTTTCAGTGAAATTATACATTACATATAAGGCATGCCGTCTGAATAAATTTTCAACGACTGCGCATAGTCCACATGCAGTCGTGATTACGGTTTCTCGGGAAATAGCCAGGTCATGACAGGCACTAATCGTGACACTTTTTGATGCTCCTGGCAAATACGGCCCCTTTGAATGGTAATCGCTATACGGTTATCCAAGCTAGGCCACCACACATGGCTATGCCCAACTGCCTTCATTTTGGACAGTCCTGGATGATTCTCATGCAGCAACTGGAGGACTTCCCCATGTAAGGATTTCGGAACAATGACTCTGTTGCCCCACAGTAGACAGTTCCCTTGCACACTCATCTGAAAGCGCGTCTCATAGGGTCTTCCCTCGGACCCTGGGTTTATGTGGCAGCCCGACCACAGTGCTTCTTTGACTTGCGACAGCACCAGGTCTCTGGAGGTGGCTGCCACAACAGCATTTGACGACAGCACCTTTGGGTATGAGTATACCCAAGGGTGTTTCAGCATTAACACTTCGGCAGGGCAGTCAACAACAAAATGGGCACTTGGCAGAGGGAGCCAATCGGCATGTGCAATTTGTGAACCCGGCTTATACTTCAGGTCGTAACTGTACCCCAACAATAGCAAGGCCAACCTTAGCACTCTCGGAGAACAGGATCTGGGAACTGGTTTGTCTGCTGCCAGCAGGTCGAGTAGTGGTTTGTGATCTGTGACGGCCCCGAAATGCCGCCCCATAAGTACTGCCTGAACTTTGTAACGCCACATACAAGGCTCAATGCCTCCTCATATAATTGGCTGTAGTTTTTCTTTACAGTTGCCAAGCTGCGGGAGGCAAAACTAATGGGGCGCTCTTCTCCAGATGACTCTCGTTGCGCCAGTACTGCTCCAGTACCGAAGGGAGATGCATCAGTGACAAGCACAATTGGCTTTCCTGGGTCAAAGTGTGCCAATATAGCAGCAAAGGCCAACAGCTCCTTGCTTCTCTGAGATGTCTGCTCTTCCACAGTTTCCCAGCGCCATGGTGCTCCCGACGCCAACAAACTATTGAGCGGCTGTGACACCACCGAAACATTAGGCAAGAAGCTTCTGTAAAAATTAATTAGCCCGAGGTAACTCTGAAGTTCCTTGACCGTTCGGGGTGCGGGGGGCTTCCAGCACTGCTTCAGTCTTAGCCGGGTTTGGACGCAATCCCGCTGCACTAATGATATGGCTCAAGTACTGGACTTCTGGTTTCAAAAATTCGCATTTGGATAACTTCAGTCGCGATCCCGCGGTTCGGCTCATGATTCTACACAAACGTGCCTCATTCCGGTATCTCAATATGATATAAATAAAATTTTAAGAAACACAAAACGCGAATTATGCCTGTCTACCTGGTTCACAGACAAAACAAAGGAATCGATCCTATATTCTGTTGATCCTAATCATGAATATCAATTAGACCCTGACCTCCCAAGACGTATCGATACACTCATTCATTGTCTACGACTCGGAACTGCTTACACAAAGCAGTTCCTACTTCGTATTCAGCGTGCAACATCGTCAGCATGTTCATGCGGCCAAGACAACAAGGATATCTGTCACCTCTTGCTTGACTGCCCAAAACACGTTAACATCGAAGGCGACTAGAGCAGGAACTGCATAAGTTAGATCCCGAGCGGCACCATTTGCGTTGAATAAAATACTAGGTCCATGGCCACCCAAGACAAACCGCAAAGCAATGAAGGTGCTGCAACAATTCTTCAAAAAAAAAAAAACAAAAAAACAAAAAAAAAACGAAGATTTGTGACGAATACTGAGTGGACAAAAATTAAAAGTGAGCGTGGCGTCTACGTGTTTGTTCTGCCCATGGGAGAACTTTTGCTCTCAACCATGTAAGACTGTATGCTATTGTTTTTTTTACTATTCTTTATTTGTACTAACCAAGTGGAAAGGGGTAACCGTCGCCAAGTAATGGTGACGAAAACTCCTTCGTTTATTTTCTATTTCAATAAAAAAAAAACTTCTCTGCTGTACACCCGATGGCTCCAACGGCGCCGACAGAAAAAGCTCGGCGAACT